TACTCCACTATTATATGTCGTTTTGCCTTTACCCCATGATGTTGTGTGAAATTTGTACCCATTCACAAAATAAATTGGCCACAACTTTGTTATCATCAAAGGTCCCTTTGCCAAGTCATAGAAGTTTGAATTTTGTAACCTAAGTTGGTGATTCTGTTTTACCTATTCAAATAAAAGTTGTAATTAGATAACTTAATAAAATGTGCTATCAAATTAATTTGTTTAATCAAAGCAAAGCTTACATATTCTTCAAACCATAATGGAAAATCATCTTCTATTAATTTATCAATGATATCATCATTGAGATTCCCATAGGTATCTTTCAAAGTTTGTACATATAAACTACAAAAAATGATAATTAAATTATATGACTATTGTTAAATGAATTAAAATTGACAATTATATAATATTTGACACTTACTCAATGAACGGTTTAACCTCATTACAATTCAAAAGAACATGCAATTGGGCAGCCAACCTTACTCTATCATTAAGCCACCTTTCTTTATATTTACCTACTGTTTGTCCAAATGACTTAAAGATAGATAATGTTAACTCTGTATTGTCTTCATGAACTCCCTCATTCACACAATTTGAGGTGCAAAATAATGAGAACTAAAATAAGATGTCTCTTGTAGTAAATATGCTTCACAAATGGACCCTTCCACACTTCTCTTATTCTTCATAGTTTTTTAATTTTATTTAGAAACCTATGTACAAAAAATCAATTATTTGGTGAATTGTACAATGATATTGGGTATAAAAGAATGTTACCTTTCAAAAGGGTACATCCAACAGTATTGAACAGGTCCACCCATCCTAGCTTCAAAAGGCAAATGAATTGGTAGATGTTCCATAGAGTCAAAGAATACAGGTGGAAATATACTTTCTAACTTACACAATATTATAGGAATATTTTGTTTCATTTGCAATAAATGATCTTCATGTAACACACTTGAACATAAATCTCTAAAGAATTGGCTAAGCTCAGTTATGGGCTTCCATATGGGTTCAGGAAGAGTTCTCAAAGCTATTGGAAGAAGACATTCCATAAAAATATGACAATCGTGACTTTTCATCCCATATAATCTTGTACATTTTATATCTACACATCTAGAAATGTTGGAAGCATATCCATCAGGCATCTTTAAATCCTTCACCCATTCACACACATCATTCTTTTTTTTGTTTGATAAACAAAATTTGGCTCTAGGTTTTATACATTTCCCATTAGGATTTGTTTTTAATAATAACTCTTTTCTATTATAATACAATGTCAAGTCCAATCGTGCCTTCTCATTGTCTTTAGTTTTCTCTTTGGTATCCATAACAATATGAAATAAATTTTCAAAGACATTTTTTCTATGTGCATAACATCTAAATTGTGTCTCAATAAATTGTGTTTCCAATATGGTAAATCCCAAAATATGTTTCTTTTTGTCCAATTATGGGAATGTCCATTACCAGGTACATTGCATATCTTCACTTCAGTTGACTTAGGAATGTTAGAGACTATATCCCATACTTGTTCACCACTTAATCTAGGAGGAGACTCATCTTTCTGAATTCTATTTTTGTAAAAAGCATCCTTATTTCTTCTAAACACATGATTCTGAGGTAAAAATTGACGATGACAATCAAACCAAGTCATTTTTCTTCCATTTTTTAGTGAAAAAGCTTTTGATTTTTTTCATACATATTGGACAAGCAAATTTTCCAGCAGTACTCCATCCAGACAACATCTCATATGTAGGAAAATCATTTATTGTCCACAATAATGCAGCTCTCAATAGAAAATTTTACTTTTTTGAGGCATCATATGTTACTACACCATTATTCCATAATTGTTGCAATTCATCTACCAATGGTTGCAAATACACATCAATTTTAGCTTTTGGATTATGTGGACCTGGAATGATCAAAGTCAAGAACATATAAGGAGTCATGATACATAATTCTGGAGGGAGATTATATGGTGTGACAATTACTGGCCAACAAGAATATGGTATTGTTGATTGGCTAAAAGGAGTGAACCCATCGGCACACAAGCCAAGTCTCACATTTCGAGGTTCTGAGGCAAATTTAGGATATAATTTGTTAAATTCCTTCTAAGCTTCCCCGTCTGAAGGATGACACAACACACCTTCCCTACGATTTTCATAGTGCCACCTCATGTGTTCTGCAGATCTCGTTGAAGCATATAACCTTTGTAATCTAGGAATGAGTGGCAAGTAATGCAATCTCTTATGGAGAAAATCTTTAGGATTTTTCTTGCATTCATTGGGTGCTTTATATCAAGGCTTTCTACAAAATTTACATTTCTTCAAAGTACTATCACTTTTGTAATACAACATACATCCATCAATGCAACAATATATTTTTATCCTCGATAATTCAAGTCCTACTACAAGTTTCTTTGTTTTCCTAAAATTGGAAGGAATAACATTATCCGGGTGGTTTGACTCTTTCATAAATTTCATGATGTCATTAAAATAAGCTGACATATTATGTTTAGATTTTATACTCAACATCGTAATAGCAGCAGACAACTCTGATGTATTTTTACATCTGGCCATAATGGTTGTTGAGCCGAATTTAGCATTTTGTAAAATTTGGTAGCTTCCATATTTGGAGGTTCCTCTTCATTTGGTATAAAATGTTGCTCATGATTAAGACCAACGACATCAAACACTATATCTTCATGTCTATTAACACTATTAGAACCCCATGGGTGACTACTACTCGACATTGAATGCAGATCAACATTAATATTAGTATGAGGGATTTTCTCTCCATGAGATGTCCAATACCAATACTCAAATGTAAATTCTTTTCAAAGAAGGTGAACATTTACTTCATCTAGAATTAAAAACCTCTCATTTTACATTCCTTACATGGACACCTTATTTTTCCTTCAATCAAAAAGCTTGGTTGTTGACAAGCAAAATTTATAAACACATCGAGGCCACTTAAAAATTTATTTATATATGCCTCCCGACCAGGAGGAAGCCTATTATACATCCATGTTTGACGTTCATATATGTCCATTGTAAGATTGACTCGAAAATGCCCAAAATTATTATATATAAAAAAATATATTAATAATACACATATAACTATTTTGAACAATAAATTAAAATTATTCTTACATGTAAACTTCATATACGAGATTTAAAGGTCTTCACAAACTTTTACCAAAACAACAACCTAAAAAGAAACATCAATGTTACAAATTATAACCATATATTAGAAAAGGAGTGATCAAGAAAGGTGATTCTTATAAACAAAATAGACTATAATTGGTTTATGTCAAATGGGAAAGGCAATATTGTTCCATGTTTTTCAAAAGCATTCCAATTAGTAATACTTCAAACAAGGCCACCACTATTCCATAAACATGCCAGGTAAACATCATGCACCAAATTTCAAACATATCCATTTTATTCTAATGGTGGACTCAAAACAAATCAATCCATGAAAAAACATATATTCTTCCCAACTGTCCACTCATTTTAAATTAGGTTTCGTTATTCATCAACATGAACTCGTTACGACACTGATGCTATAACCTTTGCAAATCTGAACCCTTGCTTACCCTAAATCAAAGTCAACCCTTTTGGTTTGCTACCAAGGATATGCTCTTATTTGTAATGTAAAAAAATAATATTGTGATTATTATTAATTAAAGCTTGTAGATCCTTAGTACAAAAATGACGAGTCAAGTCAAATATAGAGAAAGCTAACTAATGACTAATCACATACAACAAAAATCAGGAGGAAAATTTCAAGAGAAATATATCACTTAAAATAAAACAAGAAAAGAATTCAAGTATATGTCTTCAAATGTAAACTATTAATGTTGATTCTATAAAGCACAAGACAGTTGCATATGCACTACTGCAAGACAAATATTTTCAGATTCTGCAAAATAAATAATAACAAACTTTTTCAACATGAAACAAGAACCAATTTCAGCTTGTTGCTTAAGGGTCACTTCAAAAATCATTGGGCTCATATAAAGCAGTGAAGGGAATGAAAGAGATAACTGAGAAACAACAAACATTTAGTACTGATTTGAGAAAGAAAAATTGAAGTGAACTCACCCTTCAATGTACGTTATTCAAAGCGCAAAAGCGTGCGTTGTGAACCTCCTCAGGCTTGCTATAATTTTTTAATCAAAGTCACTAGTGTAAAAATGGGCTTTTACGTCAGGTATTTAGGGTTTTTTACGTCGTATTTAAGACTGACGTTAAAATGGGAGACGTAAATTTACGTCGGACCATTTAGCCCGACGTAAATTTACGTCAGTTATCAAGACCCGACGTAATTTTACGTTACATATACCACTAAACAGACGTAAAAACTTTCAGAAATTAAAAAAAAAACAGCATATTTACGTCGCATATTGGTATACGCGATGTAAATTTACGTCACATATACCAATATGCGACGTAAATTTACGTCGCATATACCAATACACGACGTAAAGTTGTGAAGTCATCTCTGACCTACACGGCAAGCACAGAAAAATTTAGTAGCTTCTGCTTCGGCTACATTGTCCATGATTTTGACGGCGAAAAGCATCGCTGCAGCCATAACGGCCAGGCGCAACACGATGAATCGAATGGTTCATATGTGAGAAACAATTCACACGATTCATGTGCAGGATGCGATTCACACGATTTCCTTCAATTCATTACTGCCATTATTCACGTTGCACGCCCCCTGTTTGTGAAAATGCCAACAGACATATTTTCCTTCTTCTCCTTTTTCCGTGCAAAATAGAGGAACTAGAAAGCTCAGATGTTGAGCTTTTCGTAGCTTTAACCATTCACCATTTGATGTATATCCTCCAACAATAGCATTCCATGTGACCAATTCCCTTGAATCCATAGTCCAAAACAAAGCTTCTGTTCCCTCCTTTATCCAAATTTTACGTAGAAGCTAATCAAGGCATTACACACAGAAACATCAGCTGACAATTCAGGCCACTGCTGCACTTAAGAGTGGATCTGCCTGCCACACCGGTATGCAACACTCTTATCATAGGAAGCACAAACAGGCAGAATATTTGCAACAGTCGCATAATTTGACTTTGTAGGCCCTTTCACCAATGAACTGAACAACAAGAATGCATCCTCCACTAATCCATTCTCAAATAAGCCCGCAATCATTGCACTCCACGAAACAACATCTTTGTGAACAATATCTTCAAAGACAGCATATGCATCACGAGACACCACCCCACACTTTGCATACATTGACACGAGAGCATTTCCACCAAGGGTGTCTTGTTGAAAACCAGACTTGAAAACATAACCATGCACACACAGTCCAGCATCCAGGTCCCCTAAACGAGCACGAACAGGAAGCACAGTAGCAACGGAAATTGAATTCGGCATAGCCTCTCCACTGGAATGCATCATCTTAAACACTCTCATCACATCAGAATCACATTTGTTTGACCCTGAAAACCCAGACAAAACAATATTCCAAGTAACAGGATCACAGTGATTGAGTTCATCAAACAGCCTGAGGCAGTCATCAAGCATGCCACACTTGATATACATGTTGAGCAACCCTTGATTGGTAACCTGGCAAAAAACATGACCTTGTTTAACAACATAACTATGCAGAGATGTCCCCAATTTGGGAGCCAAAAGGGCACAACAAGACTTGAGAATGGCAGCAAGGACAGTGTAATCTGGCTTGAAAGCCTCATAACCCTTTAAAAAGCGGTGAAAAAGGGACAAGGCGTCGCTGTGTCTTGCATCTAAACACAAGCTCCGAACGATGGAACCCCATGTGCTGAAATCCCGTCCAAGCATAGTGTAATGTCAGACTACCGTGTGAAAATTGTATGATGTGGTCAATTTAAACATATAGCAATGAAATAGAACACTAACCTCAAGTGTAGACGAAAAATGATTTCAAACTCGAATCCAATCGGGGAGAAATATCAAGTTCGTCAAATGATACACAATGGTGATGTTTTTCACTGTCAAACTGATCGAAAATGGTGTGCAGAGGTAGCTGTTGTCGTCGTTCTCGTCGTCGTTCTCAAAAACCCTTGCTGCGCGAGACCAGGGAGTGTGCTGGGAGGGAAATAAAAGAGACTTTTTACGTTGCACACCCCAACATGCGACGTAAAAAGCCTCTTTTACGTCGAACCTATGTGGTGCGACGTAAAAAGAAGACTTTTTACGTCGTGTGATGGGGTGCGCGATGTAAAAAGCTATCACTTTTTACGTCGCGCACCCCACCACGCGACGTAAAAAGTCTCTTTTACGTCGCGCCACGTACCTGCGACATAAAAGAGTCTTTTTACGTCGCATGCTAGGGTGTACGACGTAAAAGTTTTGTCTCTTATTTACAAAATTGTCACCGCGTTTTATTTACGTCGAATATTTTTACATGCGACGACAATTGGGTGACGTAAAAGCCCTTTTTGCACTAGTGAGTGTCTTCATATACATATTAATTCATAAAATTTATTATATATGCTTAAAGTGGACTTCAATAAAATAATAAGCACAGAGAGAATTTTATATTACTCTTTAAACAGGGAAGATATGCATAAAATTCTTGTTATAAATCCATTTTTTTTATGCAGAAATTTCAAGGCTCTAGATTTTGATGACACACAAGTATTAGGATTGATCAATGCTAGAAACTATAGCACATAAGTGAAACAAGAATAACTATGAACAAGAGAAATCTTTATGGAATAGAAAAACAAACATGTGCTCATATATATAGTACAGGTCCGAGGGCCAAGGACCATATTATCTTCCAAAAGTACATATATAGTTTCTGTGTTGCAAATAATCCATGCAAGAATTATTAGTTATTTTTTGAATAAACCTATTTATTGCTTTTGTAAATATATATAGTACAGGTCTAAGGCCAAGGATCATGTTATCTTCCAAAATTACTATTTATCTTGCATCTATTTATTAGTTTTTTCTGAATAAACCTATAGAAAAAAAATTGTTATCAACGGTAAGAATATTCAATAGAATGAAAGTGAAAGGTGTGAAAGTATTATCTTCCTATAAATAATTTTATATAGACACAGACCACCTCATCTAAAAGCTTATGATGTAACTCGCAACTCACTTTAGAAGACATAAAGTTATAAGTGAGAAACTCATGGTAAAAATTAATTAGATATTGATGCATCTATGGATTTTCTATCGATCATTTAGATCATTTCTTCTATCCTCACTCGTTTTAGAAAAACCAAAATCTAAAAAGTTAAGAAGTATTAGGAATATAGAGAAAGCTAACTAATGACTAATCACATACAACAAAAACCAGGAAGCAAATTCCAAGAGAAATATATCACTCAAAATAAAACAAGAAAAGAATTCAAGTCTATGTCTTCAAATGTAAACGGTTAATGTTGATTCTATAGAGCACAAGACACTTGCACGTGCACTACTGCAAGACAAATATTTCTAGATTCTGCAAAATAAATAATAACAAACTTTTTCAACATGAAACAAGAACCAATTTCAACTTGGTTGCATAAGGGTCACTCCAAAAATCATTGGGCTCATATAAAGCAATGAAGAGAATGAAAGAGATAACTGAGAAACAACAAACATTTAATACTGATTTGAGAAAGAAAAATCGAAGTGAACTCACCCTTTAACGTACATTATTCAAAGTGCAGAAGCGTGTGTTGTGAACCTCTTCAGACTTGTTATATGTGCTTAAAGTGGACTTCAATGAAATAATAAGCACAAAGAGAATTTTATATTGCTCTTTAAACAGGGAAGATATGCACAAAATTCTTGTTATAAATCCATTCTAGCATTAATTTATTTACCTGTTATGGACTGGAACTTCCCAGGCACATTGAGCGCAACCCAAAATCAAAGTATCCAGTTGAATAAGTCACATAATACCTAAGACTCCAACGACTAGACTTATTTATGTGATATTATTCGTCTTCCACGATTCAAGTCACTGTATTGACAACGCAGATGAAGAAAGAAGAATTGTACAGTAGTGGTTAAAGGGAGAAGAACTGTAACGTGGTCGAAGGAAGAAGAAACTGGATACTCGGTTAATGGAAGAAGAGAGGTAGAGACGAACAATTTTTATTTTATATTTTAATAACTTCTTAATATTTTAATTATTTTTAATGTAACTAATTAAAATATATTTTATAATTTTTCTATAAAAATAATTAAAATCTTTTTAAAATATTATTTTTAAATTTTGCTGCCACTTTTTAAAATATTATTAAATCTTTTTTTACAAATTTAATTTATAAAAGAAATATAAAAAAATATTTTTCATTCCTGCCAATTTTTATACGAATATATATTTGAAAATAAAATAAAATTATAATTATATAATTGAAGAAAATTTTGCAGGAATTTCTTACTATTAATTTTTTGTAAAAAAAATCTTACATATTTTCTAGAAAAAAAATTGCAAATAAATTTGTAATAATTTTTTATGAAATATTTTTCTTAGAATAAATTGTAACTATTTTTTACCATTGAATAAAAATTCACATGAATTTAATGATTTTTTTTAGTGTTATTTTAAAAATCCTTCGTCCGAGTAGAAAAAGAAAAAGGTTTTTGAACTTGACTTTATTGACTTGTTTTTCATTTGTAGTTTATTTAATTATTTGAATTTTTCATAAAATTTTAAGATAAATATGTAAAATATAATAAAATGAAAAGATAAATTTTTATATTAAAAACCAATTATATATATATATATATATATATATATATATATATATATATATATATAAAAAAAATGGGATACTAAGTTTGTGCTGTGTCTTCTTTTAATTTATCTTTTATCTCCAGTGGCATATTTATTTGATTATGTGGAAATCATTTTATGTAATTAATGGATGAAAACATTCATATTTGTATACTAATGTATACATATAAGAAAAATAATTTTATGAGTGAGAAATAATATTAACAATTCTCATAAATCATCAAAATTAACTAATATAATTTTTCAGTTACTGTAATGTTTTAAGGGAATATATAACTTTAAAAACTTACAATATTTTTTACATGAAACATGCTTTCACGTACGATAAAAAAGTAAGATAATTAAGGTGCACTCATCACGGAAAAAAAATTATATAGAGAAAGGAGTCATCATTGGAAAAAAATTTCAAGTTACTCGTAAACAAAGGTAATCAGTTGATACAGTAAAATACCTTTTATACAATTCTATAATTACGTAGAACATGTCAAAATTTATGTCTTTCGTTATTTTTATTTTTATTTTCTTTTTCAAAGTATATGTATATGCGTTTCCTTAATTTTATTCATTATACACGATTTTTTTTTCATACTTCATTACTTTGAGAGGCAAAGAAATGATATGAAACAATAACACTAAAAGCGATGAAATAAAAATAGAGAATAAAGGATATAAAGTAAATGCAAATATTGAGATAGAAATGATGAAGTAGCTGAAATTTCAAACTGTTTAAGATTCAAATTTAGATAATTTAACACACCAGAAATAGAAATAGATAAGAAATACTGCATACATTATTCTCAAAGGGAAACTGAAAGAAGAAATTCATCAAACATAGCCAAGTTGCGACTAGATTCATCGGACATATACTAGGTCCATCCGACATAATAGCCAAGCGACTAAATTCATCGGACATAATAGCCAAGTTGCGACTAGATTCATCAGAAATAGCCAAGATACGACTTGCGATTCTTTGATCCTCATCATGAACTTTGATGCTGAGTTACTGACTCGTGATTAGATCATCATGAACTTTGATGTTGAGCCTCCTAAGCCACACAGAATGAAGGATCATGTGAAACACATCGAATCGTTTGGGTGGAGAATGCACTTGAAAGTGTCTTGTCATTTGTTTTAATCTTCTATGCATTCTTATATATTCTTTTGGAGTAACACTCATCAAGATGTCCTTCAGGTTAGGAATGTCCTTCACTGACAGCTCAACTGAGAATGACTTCCAGTTCAAAACGTCACTGAAAGGAGGGACATAGTTCTCCGAAATGAGCACAGGAACACACCCTGTGTAAATTGCCTCCACCACTCTAGGGCTAGCCACCTCATTCCCATTAGGGCAAAGGCAAAACTTGCTCTTTCTCATCATCTCATAGTAAGAGATGCCCTTTTGGAGATACTTGTGAACCTGAATATCTTCATCCTTATTCTCCCAATGCTCAAGAAGATCTGTTCTAATGGGTCCATGAGCTCCCCCAGCAAAGAAAGCCAAAATTGAACGTTTAGATGCCGATAGCCCACCAATGAAACCATTTTTGAGACTAATTTCGGGAAATGAGACATCCTTTGCAGGCTTAAATCCTTTAGATGTGTTGGCATTGCAAAGTACACGAATAGAGTTGTTGTGCGGATAAGGTAAGGATAATGATGAGCCCTAAAAACACAAAAATACAACAATGAATTCAATATAAGCAATCATACGATCAAAACTAAAATATTCATGCCCTTTAAATCAACAATGCAAGAAAAATGAAGTAGAGGTACTTAGATGATTACCCAGTCATGGCAAGTAAGCGTGAAGTGATCAGCTCCACGGCTTCGATTCCAATAAGGGTATCTTGCAGCAATGCCATTGAGATAATCTTGGACATTTTTTCTCATGGGACTGAAGTCTCCTGAGACTCTTTCATATGGAACCATCATTTCTACAGTAAAAGGGAGAAAAAACACATGTGCTTTCTCTGGATCTTTAGTTCGAAAATGGTCATTGTCTTCAATAGCATGCATGAAGTTACCCATGGAGTATATGCTTTTGGATGGTCCACTGTCCAAAACTGGAGGGTCCCCTTCTTCATACACAAATACTTTGAAGTGTTTCTCCATTTCTAGGTAGCTCCTACCGTAGCAATTTTATAAGAAGAGAATAGTTAATGAGTGATTTGTTATGAACAATGAATATGGCCAAAAAATGCATGTAACATTGTTCACTTCTTCTGCATGTGGTGTTGAAAGAATTGTGTATATTTACTTGGTCATTATGAAAAACAATGCATGTATATAGAAATAACTGTACCTGTGAAATGCCTTAGCATTCCAATACATTGGACCTGTGGGAACATAATCTGAATCTTTTGTTCGATTCCCATTTCTGGCTTCAGTGATTGCAGCTCGAGCTTGTGCTAAAACATTCTCAGTTTCATCCAAGTTGCTTACCATTATTTTTTGCTCCTCTTGTGGGTGAGGTTCACCAGATTCATTCAGATAATTAGCCAAAATGAACAAAGGTTTGGAGCCATTGGAAACTTCAGTTTGATTCTGTTCAAACAACCCAAGTCAGTAACTTTTTTAAATATAAAATATTAAGATTTCATTTAAAATGACAAATTGCTACAATATTATCATCTAGTCTCTCATTCTTGCTCCAAAATAAATAAATATTGACCATTTACTTAATCGCGAGCTCAAGATGAATAAAAAGAATAATTTTCAATGTGTTTCTCACTCTAAAATGAAAATTAAATCTAAACTGTTTCTTCTTTCACATGAACATTTTGCAAAGAAAAAACAGCAAATCTTTTATTGTTATTATTATTTGACAATGTTGTGAGATCTGAACAAAAATGGGTGGCATTAATTACTTTTATATATTTAGTTTTTAAATACAATAAATTTATTTGAAATTTGTTTTTAGAAAACTATTTATCCTTTATAGAAGATACTTTTTCTAATTGCATGCGTTACTTAGTTTTCTCTTAAAATATCCTTAATATATATATATATATATATATATATATATATATATATATATATAACCTAAAAATCAATAGATCTGTAAAACAAAATACTAAAAAATAAATTATATTACATTTTCTTCCTATCTTATAATAAATATCATCCTAAGTTTTTTCATTTATTTACTTTTTATAAATTTATTTATCCTTTCTAGAATATCTATTTTTTTGTCTTAAAAAATATTTTTAGTTTCATAATTTTTTTAGCCAAAAATAATAGATCTGTCGTAACAGACTAAAACAAAACAAAAAAAAATTATTTTTTAAAAAATAATTTATCCTTTCTAGATCTTTTTCTGCATGTATATTGTGTGAATTAGTTTTCTCTTAAAAAAATATTTTTTTAACTAAAAAACAGTAGATCTGTCAAAAAGAAACCGAAAAAAAAAATAATTTATATTACAATATAATTTAATAACAAATCATCCTCTTTTTACCTACCAAGAAAGAGTATTCTCCATCTTTAATTAGTGACTTTCTTTACAAAATTATTTATCTTTTCTAGAAGATCTTTTTCGAAATGCATGTTGTGTTAATTAGTTTTTTTTTCCATAAAATACTCTTAATCAATGAATTTTCAACTGAAAAATATACTAGATCTGTTGAAAAGAAACTAAAAATAATTAAAAAAAATTATGTATAGTTATAATTTAATTACAAACTATCCTCTCTTCACATACCAAGAAAAATATTCCCTAATAATCTTTAATTAGTGACTTTTTTTTAGAAAATTACTTATCCTTTCTAGACGATTTTTTTTTCAAAATGCATGTTGTGTTAATTAATTTTCTTTAAAAACATAATTAAAAAAAATAATAGATCTATAAAAACAACTAAAAAAGCAATTAATATTAAAAGCTAAAATGACATTTATTTTGCGTTAAGAAAAAAATATAATAAATTTTTTGGGTATGATAATAACTGTTATAATTTGCAATTTAGGTCGAACAAAATAGATTAAACTGTAAAGTTAAGAAATGAAAGAAAATGAAGATGGTGAAAGATTAAAAGCAGAGTAAGAGTGAAAGAAATGAGGTCTTACATAAAGATGAAGTGCAGTATCTGAAGAGGAATTAGATGGAGGAGGAGGAGGTGGTGGTCTCAGTGAGTCAATGCAGTCTGTAATAAAACCGTATTCACAAACGTGAGGGCTGCTCATAGTAGCATACATTGTAAACACAAAGATAGGCACAGCCACCACCAGCATCCTGATTGTTGAATCCTCATCTTCTGATAACAGTAAGGTAAACATATCCCATTTTCTGCAACTCATTTTTGATAACCCAGGCAACGTATTTGTGTATGATTTTGCAGAGGACAATGGCACAACACAAAATGCCCCTATTTAAAGACCAAACCACTCTTCATTCATGTCACAGCTGTCCCCTATTCTTTACCACCAACGGTTACATTTCATGTAGCAGAAATTCTTGCAGTAATTGTTTGGTTTTTTCTTCTTTTCTTGCCAAAAAGACTCAGAGTAACGGGTAATTAAAGAAGCATATTAGATCCAGCACGATGACTGGTGGAGTGTGGAGGTGGGAGTTGTAATATATTGAATATAAAATTATTATTTTTCTGCTTTTTAATATTTTAATATTATAAATTTTGGTTGAATGTTGTTTCATTCAAATTTATTATTATTTTTAATATTAATTTGATTATATTATTTTTACCGTGAGTTAATATATTTATCTTTTTTTTAACATTAATAATATTATTTAATGAGATCTAATGATGTCTTTAGATTACATTTATGTAAACTTGCATTATTGAATAATATTAATTAACTAATATCAAATCAAATTGAGTTACTTTCAAATATTTATCACTTTTTTTTAAAATATATTAAAATATTTATTTAAAAAATAGAATCTGTTAGTATATATTGATACTTAATAAAATAAAATATTACAAGATAAAATTATGTCCCAACATTTAAGTATAGAACAAAAAAGGTTAGATTAGAGTAATGAGAAAACATTTTAACCAAAATATGAATTTAATCATAAGCAATCTCATTTAAAAAAAATATAAATTATCTCTTTCATATATAATTCAATTGTAGAGTTCTGTAATACTTATATTAATAGTATGTCTACTATGATTTTTAATTATTTAGTTTTTTATATCAATAATATATAAGAATTAAACTCATAAACTGTTATTTTATAATATATTTATTTATACTTAATTTATATACATATGAAGTAAATATACACATATTTTTTAAAGTTTAGTAACTTTTATCATGTGAAAGATTCTCATGCAATGTTTTCTCGTTTGAAATGTATAGCAATAAATCTTGGCTTTTGAGACTTTTAAGAATTTGTTCACACGTGTCGTTATTGCATGTATTATTTTCATAACGTGTCCTTTAAGTATTGAAGTGAAGAATTAAGAAGCATGCATTGAGTAGATTTCTTACCGTATTTATTGTTTCTGCCTTGCATCAGATTTTCCATGCAGTAGTCAATTTTCGAATCGAATCTTATTTCTTGTAAGACAAATGTATACTGCTAACCAATTAAAATATTGTTGAATAGAAATTATTATAAAAATGAACAAGTTAATCTTAAAGTATAACTTTTGTACAAAATTTCCATGGATTTTCAATTTTGAAATCTCCTAATAACATATTTAAGCTTTAGCAATGAAAGAAAATGAATATTAAAAACTCTAACTTAAATCTCAAATATCTTAGACATTTTTTATACAGGAATAACATCATTTATGTTCATTCTATTTGGCACTCCTTTCTCAAAATTATCCACTGTGGTAAAATAATTTGAGTTAAACAAATGCTTAATATCAAATTATTATCAATGATCTTAATGTAGGGTTTAGATATTATACCAATTTAAATTGTATTCAAGCTATTTCATATGATTTTGTGTTAGTTTACTTTTATATTATACCTCGTTAAAAAAATAAAATCAGTTCAACCACGTTCAACTAATTAAAGAAAATTATATATATATATATAATTCATAAAAAAATTGTTCTCACCAGTATAAGATTGGATTGATGTTTAAAACTTATAAACAGTTTCTATCTATTCAATATTTCTATCTTACAATATGATAAATATATATATATATATATATATATATATATATATATATAATTAATGTTATTTTTTATTAAAATATTTATAGAACAGAGACATACAATATATTATATTATATTACAATGTTGTACAAGGAATGCAAAAATCTAACTAACAAATTTTATGTATTGTTGTAAACAGGACATGAAATTAAAAGACATTTCAGGTGTGAAACCACTTGGAATGTGATGAGGATCCTATGCCACACGAAGAACCATCAAGTATGTGAAATACACCTATTTGAAGTTTAAGCTCTTTAAAATTGTTATTTCAATCAATGTGGATGTCATACTACTATACTTTTTATTTTTATAGAGATTTTGTAATCTTTTAGTACAAGCATGGATAAGTTTTTTCAATGTATTTTTTAAAATAAAAAATTATATATCAAAATTAATTTATGTATAAATTAAAATAAAATACAAACTAAAATTTTTAACTATTGAAATGTCAAGTGAGGATTTGAATTGTTTTGAGCGTGCACAACAAACAAGAACGCAACGCAACGTTGTTCAAGCGAGATTCTTAGGGCTGCAGTGGTCCTTTAGGGCACACAATTTTAATTCTGCAAGTTAGAGTCTTTCCTTGACAAAAATTTGTCATGCCAACTATTTTTTTTAGCAGGAAGATTTGAACCACTAACTATTTATTTAATACCAAACAAACTTTATGTATACATTTTAAAAAATTAACAAAATGGATAATAATTTTTTTACCAATAATACATATACCTAAATTTTTTTTTTCTCTTTTCTATTCTCGTTGTAAATGTTTAAAGCGTATGTTTATGCGGAGAAAATGTAGAAGGAGGAGCCAAAAGAAAAACGAAAAAAAAAAAAAAGTCCCAACAACACTACATTGGATGTAAAAAAAGTGAGGCAGAGGAAGACCAAAGATCGAGACAACCTTTGCACACTATATAGCCTACAATAACCAGTTTGGCTTTTAATGACAACAATTGTTGTCAAATTTTCCTCGCAGTGCTACTCTCTGCCATATATTAACCCGTGAGTGTGTTGGGTGAGGACCATTCAGTTTGCGACAAAACAAGCAACAAAGAAACATTTTTCTTGGCAAGAGGAAGGTTTTCCTTAGAGGTAGATTTTGGAAGCTTCTCTCGGGCGAGGAAATTAAGATGCAAAATATGCTAGCGAAAATGGTAGAGACGAGGAGAAATAGAGATATTTAAAAAGATAAAAAAAAATGATGTAGATATACATTTAAGAAATTGAGGTTTTTGATTATATGTTTTGTATATTGATTTTTTTTATTAGAGTAATTTATATTTATTTTTTAATATGATATTAAATTTATTTTAATAAATTTTGTTAAGTTTATCATGTTTATGGTAATTTATCATTCATAGTTTGTTATGAGAGGGTAGATCTGTAACAATCATAAGGCTAAGAGAAGAATCATTCTCAAAAGCTAGCTCAAGAGGTTGGAGAACCTCCTACCTTATAAAGTCTCCCTGATAAGGAGACCTCCACAATGTGAGACTTGTTACAATACCAAGTCGTTCGAAAGTCGGCGTCCTCGATGACTGCACTCCACGACACTTCACTCACTGACACTTTACTGGTCAGAACCCTCCGGCGGTCAGAACCCTTCGTGGGTAGCCCTTTTCGAGTTGGCTAGCTCTCAATGAAAGCACCACTGTAACAATCATAAAGCTAAGAGGGAAACCATCCCTCAAAAGCTAGCTCAAGAGGTTGGAGAATCTTCTACCTTATAAGGCCTCCCCGATAAGGAGACCTCCTCAACGTGGGACTTGTTACAAGATCTCACCACAACATGTTTGATTTTAAATGCATGAAAATTTTAGAAGTAGAGATTTTCACATATTTTGAAAATTTTAAATTTGCTTAATTCTTATTTGATGGCTTCTAAGTCTGTTTAACATGTTAGAGACAATTTCAAAACTTAAATTTTAAGTAAATATTTTTTAGTAAAAATTATTTATAAAATAAAAATTAATTATTTTTTTACTGTGGTCATCACTTTTAATCCTCTAGTGGTTAGAGGCAACGTTGAGTTAATAAAAATTATAAAGAAATGAAAATCAGAATTTTCTATATAATCCACTCAACGGATTTTAAATTTGCTTATTGCTTTTTAAATTCACTTTTCCAAACTCGTTAAAAGGAAAAATTATAGGATTTTTAAATAGTGTTTATTTGACAAAATATATATCATAAAAAAATATATATATTTACATAAAAATAATAAATACTCATCGAAGTTTTAGTCATTAAAGGCCAAAATGATCACTAATTAAAATAATCATTAAAATAGTGATTAAATAACATGATCACATTTTTTTATAGTAGTTAATATATGATGATTGATTCTGTGAATGCGTAATCAATTTAATAACTAAATAAATGACTGATTCATGTTGAATAAGTTAGTGGGAATGAACGAGCTCCCTTCCAACTGTTTTTTTTTAAGGTGGTATCAAATCCAAGATTTAGTTATTCTTAATATATTTTTTTTCTCAAACAATAAAATTGTAATGATTGTTTTAGTTACTAATGATTTTTTTAGTTATGTTGGTTAATCTAATAAACCTCATTTATTATTTTAAATATTGTATCTCTCCCGTATTTCAACGTGCGATTGTATAATTTAGTCTTTTATTCAATATAATTTATATTCAATGTACCTCTTTCTCTTGATACTCTCTTTTTTATTGTTTTGAACCCATTTTCTGCTAATAGTAGCATCAAGAGCTTCAAGATCCGGGAAAAAGAAGATCAAATGGTAATGGCAGGAACTAGATTCCATGACAACATGCCAGTGCTAAAAAAATTTTAATAGTTATGATAAATGGTGTCTGAAGATGAAAGCAATATTTGGTTCCAAGAAGTCTTGGATATAGTCTTGAATGAATATGATGAGTTACCGGAGAATCTCGCAGAACCACAACGTGCTATGTTTCATGATGCGAAAAAACGTAATTGTAAAACTTTATTTTACATTCATCAGTGTGTCGATAAAAACAATTTTAAGAAGATCTTGTTAGCAAACACGACGAAAGAAGCCTGGGACATGCTGACGCAGAGTTACGCAAGAGTAGAAATATTGAAGATGGTGCGACTCTAAATCTTGTGTCGTCAGTATAAGTTATTGTAGATGGGGACGCAAGAAACCATCCAATAATATTTTTCAAGATTGTTGTAGATTACAAACACAATGAAGTCATATGATGAAAGCTTGAAAAAAAAAATGGTGGTAGAGAAGTGTTGGAAAAACAATTAATAATAATAATAATAATAATAATAATAATAATAATAATAATAATAATAATCCTGATTTTGATTCTAACGATCAAACATAAATATAATCCCATACTGATAAACATGTTATAAACTGAATGTGAAAGTGTACCTGAATTAGCCATAATGATGATGTCTTTGTAGAGCACTGTATTGATCTTATGGTCTTCCACCTGAAGAGCACCTGTATTTTCCTCTTGATTTTCTCTCTTGATGGGGATAGAAAGAAAGGAACAGGAATGAAACTTACGTTCTGTCTATGTGCTCCCAGAAGGGGACCACGACCCCTTAAAATAACCAGAATTAGGTTAATTACTTAAGTTTCAGTATTTCCAATTTGGCCCCTCATCAAATTAGAAATTGCTCAATGGTCTCTACACAATTTTGTTTTCATGACATATGCCTTTAGCCAAAACTTTAATTTAGTCAGATCACTTTATTATTTGGCTTAATAAATAATGGCTCTAACACATTTAAATTATGTATCATATATATACATGACCCAAATTTTGCCAACAATCTCCCACTGGTCACAAATATATATGTCCTTACAACCTTACAAATGTGTTAGACTTTATGAGCTCAAAATTGTCATTATATTCCTTTAGCATACTCCAAAAGTCCTGTTCATTAATCATATCAGGATATAGAACCAAACCAGCTTTTCATTGCATCATCGCAATTAAAACCAACAATGATTACTCATCCTAACATAACCAAATGACATGGATTCATCATGAAATGTGTAGCATGAAAAATTACGTGAAGGTGATCTGTACACGTCTATTTTCAACTGGTTCAAATTTTAACTTATCGAGATCGATATAATATCCTTAATGTACAAAGTGTAATTAATGAACGAAAAAAATCGCATATCTATAGATAACCAAATATGTCCAAAAATCAATGTATACATATATGAAATTAAACATAAAACATAAAATATATGAAAGTGACTAACTCCCATTAAACCACAAATTCCTCAAACTGTAAAACACCCATGTGAGAAACATGCTCATGAAAGACCTTGGGCGGAAGTCCTTTAGTTAGAGGATATGCTATCATGGAGTTTGTCCTTAAGTGTTCTATGAAAAGTTATCCACTTTGTACTCTTTCCTTAACAATACAGCTGATTTATTGTCACAATATAGCTTAAGTGGTCTTTCAATGTCTTTCACAATTTGCAGCCCTGTGATAAAAATTTTCAGCCATATTCCATGATTTGATGTCTCATAGCATGTTACAAATTCTTGACATCCTACAAAATCTGAGTCAGAAAACCAGCGATCTCCAACTGGTCTGACCTCCTATATGTGAGCATATAATCTTTTGTTCTCTTTAAATATCTTATGACTCTTTTTGCTGCTTTTCAATGGTCTATTCCTGGATTGCTTAAATATCTGCCTTGAACCCCAACTATATTTGCTATGTCTGGATGCGTACATACTTGGGCATACATCAAACTCCCTACAACTGATGCATAAGGAATCTTTTGCATTTCCTCAATTTCCAAATTCCCCTTTGGGCACTGATTGAGACTAAACTTGTCTCCCTTTAAACTTGTGATACACACAATCATCAACAATATTGATCTTGAAGTCAAATGAGTTTCATATCTTCTGGTAATGGGACAAGTTCCCAAACCTTATTGTCTTGCATGGACTTATACTTCTCCTTCATTGCTTCAATCCACTTTTGAGAGTTAGAACCTTGTATATCTTGACGGAAGTTAACTGGGTCATCTTCCATTATATCATTATTTTCCTCATGTTCCTGAAGAAATACCATGTAATCATCCAAAATAGCACTTCTTCTTTCTCTAGTGGATCTCTGCAAAGTTATTAGCTCATGATGCACAGATTCTTGAGGATCTTGAGTTTGTTCTTCATGAACAACCAAATCATATTGAGTAAGGGGTTCATCAATAATGCCTTGCGGAGGTTCCGAACTTACTTTATCAAAAGTAACTATTTGAATCGGTTCTAGAATTGTTACCAATTCTTCCTCCAAGACAAAGTTCCTGATTTTATTCTTCCCCCCAAACTCAATATCCTCAAAGAACGTAGCAGTTCCCGTCTCAAAAATTGTCTTTAATATGAGATCATAAAATTTATATCCCCTGGATCTTTCAGCATAACCAATAAAATAACTACTTACTGTTCAGGAGTCCAATTTCTTTTCATTTAGCTTATAAGGCCTTGCCTCAACTGGACATCCCCACACATGGAAATGCTTCAGACTAGGCTGTCGCCCAGTCCAAAGCTCATAAGATGTTTTAGTAGCTGCTTTAGTTGGTACTCTATTTAGAATATAAGCTGTCATATTTAGTGTCTCTCCCCAAAGTGATTCCAGTAAGGTGGAATGACAAATCATACTCTCTACCATATCTTTAAGAGTGTAACACAAGCCCAAACGTCACAATTTGATGTTACCTGAGCACTTGTTCCATAATGCACTTGAGTGAGTATTTTCAATTTTTTACGTTTAGTACCACATGATTCTGTATTAAGGGTTTCATTATAGGTGGTCACAATATCAAGTAAATATTGATTATCATAAATCAAAAGTGAACTAGTTCCAACAATATCTGAATTAAAAGACAAACTGAACTTATTGTTTCCAAATGAACACAAATAACATAATTTG